TATAATTATCAGGTGTTTTAACGTGATTTCATAGCAATAATCGCAAAAAAGACGTTAAGAGAAAAACACTGTATATAACAATAACTCACCTTAACACTTGATATAAATAATAAAAATTAAATGTTTGACACATTTGATAACTAATAAGATTCGTATACTAATTATTAAAGTGAGTTCATTGTCCAAAACTGTATAACGCGAAATCCATTTTCCCTTGGGCCGATTCAGACATAATGGTATATCGGGAGTACCGCATAGTGTTGATATAGTACTAATAAAGAGCACTCCTAAACTCGAATATTAACCCCAAATACAGAATGATGAGGGGAATATGCAAAAAGTGCCATAATCGGAGTATCTGGTTATTCGACTTATGATTAGGCCGAAATTGCTTATCAATAAATGAGGGTGCTATGTGTAGTACTATACAGTGATATGACAGAAAGAATATTTCATGTACAATGTGTCATAGGGTTTGATAATGTCGTTTCGAAAAGCTCGACACTAGATTAGAACTAGATTAGGTAAATACACTTAAACATATATGTATATAGATATAAAAACCCCAACGTGGATTTTTGAAATAATATCGTGATCCAAGGCCCTACACAATTTAATGTATTGCATATTATCGGAAAAAAAAAAGATAATTGAAGAGCACTAAAAAAAGCGAATGTTCAGTACTTAAAAGTCAGCACTAAACAAGTATATTTGTGTCACAAACCTAGAAATGACATCTAAGAGTTGAATTCTAATTGATGACCTCAATGTATAATTTCATTAAAAGAAAAAAAAAGTCTGACAAACTCCAAGAAAAAAAAAAGGGGGGGAATAAAACTATTCATCGATAAATACTTGACCATAATACTGGAAAAATAATTCTATGTAAATTTCCATGGTTAGTAAATTATCAGGCTTATGTAATCTATGTTCCTTCATTACATATCAAATGATGAATGTCCAAACACTACAAAGAAAAGATAATCACGTAAAGCATTGCAATTATGAAAGAAAAAATAAATACATAAAATTTCGTAATCGAGCCGAAAAATCATTTCACTTACATTTAATCTCCAAGAATTTTTGTTGTAATCAAATTTTCAATCACACTAATCCAATCAATATTTCCTTCCTTTAACATTCGCTTCATTTGTTTTGTCTGTTTTACTTCATCCCAATTGTATTGAAGGAATAACATAACAATTTTTTTTAATTTTTCTTCATTGATCTTCAAAGAAAATCTTAAGATCTGATCCCAAGTGTGGACGTTAGCCATTTCACCAATTCGGATTATGACCATTTCTTTTAAATCATC